CATTCCTCCAGCTGCATTAGACAAATTTTTACAGGATGAAAGCCTGGGCTTCGAATCCAGATGGGCTCTTACCAGTTTTTGGAGGGCGAGTAGGTATGGATTTCGTCGAAGAACCTCTCTGGTTGGTGCAGAGGGTAAGGGCTAGGCCGTGTCCACCCACCAAACAGCACAAGCAAGTCCCTGTAAACCACCAGTGTGGCCCCGGCCTTGGGCGAGGGGTAGGAACCTGGGCAGGGAAAAGAAGGGGAAGGTCAGGAAACCACACTCCAGCACAAGCACTGAACGGCACCAGTTTTACTGAAGTGCGACAACACGGAGACTCCACCTTTGAAAAAAAAGAAAAAGCAGAAAAAAAGGCAAAATTAGAGTTTGGAGCCTGGGAAGAAAGCTACTGCCAATTTGTGTCACTGTAATTAGTAGGAGCCTGAAAGCACATTTCATGTATGGCAAAACATCTGTCACTCACTGGCAGGAAATTGCTAGCTTTCTAATGTATCCCTTGAAATTATTGCTTTAGCACTGAATAAAAGCAATAATTACCTCCGAATACCTAGTAACTTCTCCCCAAGGAAGGAGGTAGAACGAATACCGATTCTCACGCATCCGGTGTCGCTGGCTGCAGATTGCTGGGGTGCTCACGAGTGGCAGCGTGCACCGAACCCCGTTTTCTGTGAAGTGGCACAATTAAACCCGAAACGCTTTGTTGGGTGAACTACAAATCAATCCTTGAGTCTGCAGAATGAAGCGCTCCTCTAAAAATCCCCGAGGGACTTCTTGCTTGGCTCCGCAGGGGCCAGGGACCTCCTGAGCAGGACCTGCGCGGGGAAGACGACGGGACCTCTCGGGCTCGGTGCTGTCGCCATCAGAAAATGCCGTGTATCCCGAAGGTCTTCCTGCAGCACAGCAAAGTGCTGAGCTCACCGCTCAACCTACCGCTGCTCTGCCCACCGCATCGCTCCCTAACCGGCTCGGAGCAAGAGGAACTTCAAAGCAAAGAGCCCCTTTGTGAGGGCAGCTATCAAAGGATGGGATCCCTTTGAATTTATGTCAGGGAATCGGCCACGGTCCGCTGCAAAAATACAAACCCCGCCTGCTCCAGCAGCCAGAGGTGCTGTCACTACCTCGCTGATGTGTTAGGCACTGAATTACTTCCCAGCAAAAGCCAAAGCCTCTCCAGCCAGGTCTGACGTGTCTGAGCATCCTCCCTCCCACAGCTGTCACCAGCATCGGGCAGATTCCTCCACCTCTGCTGTCACACTTTCAAAATAATCATAAATACATCACCTGAAAAAAACGGATGCGCGTGCCCAGCAGCAGGAACCAGGGGCAGCGCCAGGGCAAGGCTGCGCACGTGGCCACAGCAGCACCATCGCCCTCCCCAAAAAGGCTGATGCACCAAACCAACCTCTCTCCTCCAATATCTCCAACAGGACTCTGAGAACCACTTCTAGCAGGTAATGACATGCAGAATGGAGGCTATTTTTAAAAGAAACCAGAGCAGCTATTTTAAGCTGCTGCAGCCGAGAAAAGCAATTCGATGGCGATGGGTTCCAGGTGGTGGGTGGCCAGAACCCAGCCAAAAAGCAGCCCCTGGCCAGAGGAGGAGGAGGTGGCTGCAGAGTCCCCGAGCCTTTCTCCAGGGACAAGGCACATCTTGCTGCTGCCCTCAACTATACAGCTGCAGGGGGAAAAAGGGAATAAAGTTGTGCAGGAAACAATTCTTGTGTTGGGGCACATATATAGCGTGGCCAGAGCTATACCCAAGGTCTCCCTATAGATGAGAGTGCCAGAAGAGGGTCACATTTGGTTACTCTTTGTTCACAGATTCCAGTTTTCCTGGCTCGTTCCGTGGCTGTATGCAACTCATTAAGCCACACCAGCAGGTTTCCAGCCTGAATATTTCCCCGGCAGAGCAGAAGTTGCCCTCCCAAGCTTGGCATCGCAAACTAGACTGCTAGAAACCTTTCCACCTGGCTTGCAGAGAATCGGCTGGGTGGGCTTCTCCATCAAGGACACCACAGGCTGAAAGGTGCTGGGTTTAAATTGGGTTATTTTTAAACAAAAAGGGTTAGCTGGAGAGGTACTAGGATGCAGAAACAGACCAGCACTTTGCTCAGCAAGGTCTGGGATGGTGCAGTGAGAAAAGCCACCGTCCTACTGCTGCAACCCGAAGGTCAACCCCAGCCACAGACACCGAGACGGTTCCCAAGTGAGTCAACAGCGTGTAAACAGCCCAGGGCAGAGGCCAGCCCTGGTTCTTCAGGAAGCTTTGCCTGTTATTGGATGTTGCACGGGTGTGAAAAAGCTGGGTTTCTTTCTGCTATGCAGGAAAAAAATCTGAATTTTACAAGTCAAATAAGGGCTGGCCTCTCAAAGCCTCTGCCAGCCAGCTGCGATATTTACAGATGCCCTCTGCAAAAGACTCGCACCACAAGCTTGACCTACCGGAGAGGGCTTCAGCGCTCTTGCGTTTGAGTAGAAACGTGGACAAAGAGCAGCTGAAACCTGAAGAATTTATATCACTTCTCTCTAAAGCAGGGGAGAGCTGCTGGGTGCTGCGGCCAGGAAGGGCAGGAGCATCTCGAGGGAGCCGGAGCCCTGCCCAGGCGAAGGCGACCGGCAGCCTTTGTGACTTCAGGTCCCAAGTATGCGGAGCAGCGCAGGGACGGCATCAGGGACATCAAAGGGACACGGCTCAATTACGTGAGGCCCCGTAATGACCTGCTCGAAGTCCAAGCGGCGTTTCAAAGACTCGCAGGAACATACTTGACATGGGAGGGCTTCTTCCTCTCCGGGGTTACGCTTGCAAATGAAATGGCTTCTGTTCCTCACCGTGGACCGAAATGCCTGCCGAAGAACATCATTAGCTAATTGCCCTGGTTTCCATTGCTCCCTTGGTCAGGGCTGACAAACAGCACAGAGAGGACTCTTTCTGGCTGGGTTTCCAAGCTCCACACCCTGATAACACCATCCAGCCCAATATCAGATTATCTTTCCTTGGGGATGAAAATTCAAGCACAATTAGCTACTCCTAAACATAGAAGGCAACATCTCTTTACAGCTGACGCTGTTTATTCGGTCAGGATGAGTAGCTAAAAGCTGGGCCGAGCTATTTTTTTCCAGTTGATGGATTTTCCTGGCTCGCAAAGCAGATACATACTTTTCAAAAAACAAACAAACAAAGATCTCCGGCTTCCACGGATGTTTGGAAGAGAAATGCCAGCCTCTGATTGCCTCTGACAAGAGCTCTGGATGCTCCCTATTTAAGATCTGTCCTCATAAGCATTTTTTAAAGCCCATTTATTCAGCCCTCTCATGCAACTGGAGCAGCATGCGCAGAGCTCAGCGGCCACAAAAGAACAGCCTGGCTGTAAGGGCACGCGTAACACGCGTTTCCAGACCAGCCTTTTACCTACGGCAGGTGCAGCCCTGAGCGACTCCAAAACCAAATACCAAATAGAGCTTAAAAAAACACCAAAAAACACCAAAGGGAGGGGGGGGGGGAAATCACATGGTGCCTAATTTGACAGGATTACCCAGATGAAAAGATCGGTTCAGATCGGTATGGTCTGGGGAAATATCGTAGGAGAGATGAGCTGGAGCAGACCCAGGGGTTTGCACTGTCTTGGGGGGAAGGTTAAGACATGGAAAGGGTTCTGGGGCTGTATCCAGGGCATTAATTTCGGGGAATTTTCTTATGGCAGCCTAAGCTTTCCGGAGATAGATGACAGCTACTAGTAAAGGCTGGGGGCTGCTATTGCTGGATCTGATGGATTTCTCAAGCCGCCTTAGCTCCAGCAAAAGCTGATGCTAAAACTGCGGTGAGCTGATCACAGCCATTGCCAGGTGATTCGCTGGGATAAACACAACCAGGCCCACAGCCCCATTTCCAAATTCAAAGCCGAGAAATTCAAGTGAGCCTGTCCAGCAGCCAGCGGGTCTCAATGTGCAAAGGAAGCCAAGCTCCCAAGGTTCAAAAGCCACCTGCAATCTGCACACCAAAGGTGTAGGAAACCATCCCGGGGAGGGGCTCGGGGCTAACAGCCACTACCTGCACCGGCAAAAAAAGGGGGCAAGGTGACCGTCCTGCTCCGCCGTGGCTCAAGCCATGCTGGAAACACGGCTGCTGCCTGCCAAAGCCGGCCGCTCCCTGCAAACAAGCTACATTTGTTCAGCAAATTACGTCCCATCACAGGATGCCCTTAATTTGGTGGGTACATTATCGGTGGAGCATACCATAATCCCAAAGAAAAAAGCCAGAGGGAGATGCTGAACCTGTGTAGTCAGGTACAAAAGCAACATTCGCTGGTGACCAGCACTGGTGTTTCCTAAACAGTCTGTAGCTCTGCAACGTCAGGGCATTTCAGCGTAACCCATCTGCAGAACAACAATTTGCAGGATTTCACACCGAGGAGCTTGTGTTGCTTAGGGACAGTCAAAAAGAAATGGTAAAAAGCAGATTCCTTTTAAGAAAGGGAAAAAAATTGACCTAGGTGTTGGATGTCACAACAGAAACGGGGCTAAAAGGACGGTTGGGACTTACTGCACTCTGCCTCCGACTGACAAAAGCCCTGTCTCAGACCTCTCCTTGCGGGAAGAGCCGGCTGTCCCGCTGCTGTGTCACACTGCGTGCCTCTCTCGGGGAGCTGCCTGTGAAACGGAGAGCTTGCGCTCACCCCCGTGGCTCTCAGACCTCTCCTTGCGGGAAGAGCCGGCTGTCCCGCTGCTGTGTCACACTGCGTGCCTCTCTCGGGGAGCTGCCTGTGAAACGGAGAGCTTGCGCTCACCCCCGTGTCTTGGCAGAGGGAGAAACCAGCAGCAGCCGGCCCGGTGCTGTCTGGATTTATGAGCCTGGCTTTTAGGCTGGCAGAGACTTAAAGACGCCAGATCACGGGTCCTGACCTGGAAACCTCATCCACTCCAGCACCGTCGTCTAACCCAACCGAGGGATTACCTCGACTACACTTCAACATGCAAAGGTCCACCGCAAACTTGCACGACAGTGTGAAATCCCCAAATTTCTCCCCTTCGATGGGAAGGGAAACCAGAGAAGGAAAAAATAACGAATCCCTCTGCTTCCCAGGCCAGCCAGGATTTTTCCGCAGCAGTCTGCAGATTTGCCTGAAAGCTTTTCCCCTGCCAGCAGCTTGTGAGGTTTCACAGGGGGAAGACAACAAGCTGGGGTCCAAAGGCCAGAATACGGCATGACCGGCAGAGGACAAGCAT